CTTCTACCTGCTCTCTTCTAAATGATTTCAATGTTCTCAGCAGGTTTCTTGAACCTTTGACTCCAGACTAACACAGCATGCTTCAAATGATAGCATGCTGCCACAGCTGAGTCAGTATTCCTAGCCACAGCTGACTCAGTATTCCCAGCCCCAAATCAGGGTAGCCCTTCTGTTTATGATATTGAATTCTGCTGATTTTACACTGTGAAGATCCAGTCTGTTGGAAAGCTCCTTTAGCCCTGTCATCTTCCTTGAATTTTAGCCTGTATTTTGGTAACAGGAGTAGAGTTGTGTATTTGCCTTAAGTGAACATCCATGTATATCACAAGCACTACAGATCTCTGTACCACCATTCTCTAGGTTGCCTTATCTAATATATCCATAATGTCTCATCTGAACACCCTATCAGTCATGATTTTATGGTTTCCTCCATATCATTGCTCAGATTATGAAACAGCATACACCCAAGAAATCAGCCTAAGTTCCACACCCAGACTGCAATAATCCCTTGTTTATAGTTACCCACTGGTGTTTAGCAAATAATTCAGCTGGGAAAGAAGCTCCTCAAAAATTAAAACATTCTCACAAAAACATTTAGCACAGTGGATAGGATGTGGATTTTCTAGAGAATTGCATTGACTTCCAACTGTACTGGCTGCCAGGTAGAGACCGTGTAAAAACATTTTTACCTACAGGTATTCACAGCATGTGAATGGCCACACACAGGTATCTTAGATGTCAGTCCCACATAAGCAGGGCATCTCTTTGAAAACATCCTCAGACATCTCTACAGCTTCAGGCATCAACAAGTCTTTAATTAAAGGACCATAGCACAGTTTGACCAGAGCCATCATGTGCAGCACTGGGATTATTCAAGCATTAAGGGAATAATGGACTAGCCCTAATGATTGCCTCCTCCTCACGCTTTTACCCTTGCTTCATTTTAGGCAGCCTTCTCAGTGTCTGATGGTGTCTGGAGACAGCAGAGGTGACAATATTTAGCAGGAATAGCATCAAACAAGATTAGAGAAACTACTGCCCTTCCTCTTATTGCCCCCAGTTTTGGTCCCAGGGTGTTTAACTCCGTGAGTTTTGCTTCAATCTAGTGCAGAGAGAGAATTTTTTTGTGGAATTCAGTCCTAAAGTGAGGAGGAATAGGAAGAAAGGACTATGCCTAAAGACATATGCAAGTGCAGAAAAAAAATTGTTTGCCAAACATTGAGGAGCTTTATCCTCAGTTTCATAGAATTCCAAGTCTGGAGTCAGCAAAATGTTCAAGAAAGCTCAAAAGCATCTGAGGCCTTGGCTAGGCTTACCAAGGTCAATAGGGCAAAACACAGGCCTGCCAGAAGATGTTCTTAACTCTTACTGAACTGGTCTGAAAGATGAATATGATCTTATTAATATCAGGAAATTAATCAAAAGCCAAAGGCCATGGTAGCTGGATATTTGACTTAACAAATAGCCCAAGATTTTCAAATCTAGAGCAAATCTAGAATATGTGTAAATCTAGAGGGCTAACTGAAACAATTCTTTTCTCATTTTTCTCATTTTATCTGAATATATTAAATCAGTTGACGGCTTTGTACAATCACGAAGAAGTGGCCTGCAATGAAGAAGTAATTCCACAGGTCCACAAACAGGAACAGATGCTGGACCCCAGCCAGTTATGTGCCAGGTCGTGCTGGCACAGTGCACGTCAAAGCTCATTCTTTTAACACCTAGTAGTGTGAGAATGAAGTTTGGACTCAAGGAAGAAATCAATGCCATCAGCTTACTCAACAACTGAGTTTCCCACTTATCAAAATCAGACCAGACACGAGAAACCAAACTAGAGTGACTCTGGCACAAACAGAAAATTGCTATGACATTACTGCAGGATGCCCTGGATGTGTAAGCCCCACAGGAAACTGCGTAAACGGTAAAACCATCTCAGCCTGAAGAATCTCTCGCTGTGAGGAGACAGCTGGTGTGACAGGCTGGGGACCTCCCACCATGGTGTCCATCCATGTACCAGCCTCTTCCTTTTCCTGTAAGAGAGGCATCACACCACAGCCCCCAGCTGGCTGCAGCACAGGCCCCTCACGAAGGGGATGTGACAGCTAGGCCCAGGGACAGGAGCTAGGTCCAGGGACAAGGACCAGGCCCAGGGACAGGAGCCAGGCGAGCCAGGCCTGGGGATGGCAGCTAAGCCCAGGGATGGGAATCAGGGACAGGAGCTCAGCCCAGGGATGGGAATCAGGCCCAGATGCAACAGAGGCTTTGTGGGTAGCCAGGACCCAGCCTACAGCCAGGCAGGGCTGGGCTGCTGCGCTCACAGATGGCAGCTAGGCCCAGGGACAGGAGCTAGGTCCAGGGACAAGGACCAGGCCCAGGGACAGGAGCCAGGCGAGCCAGGCCTGGGGATGGCAGCTAAGCCCAGGGATGGGAATCAGGGACAGGAGCTCAGCCCAGGGATGGGAATCAGGCCCAGATGCAACAGAGGCTTTGTGGGTAGCCAGGACCCAGCCTACAGCCAGGCAGGGCTGGGCTGCTGCAAGGCCAGAGAGTGGCCCCAGGCTGGGCTGCTTTTAGTTCAGGTTTTGAATACCAAAATCAACTCCTTGCTTCTGTGATCACCTGTAAACTCCAGCTTCTGTTCCCACATCTCTGGCACGTGCCTCAGCCCGCTGGCAGGCAGAGGGAATGCTCTTAGCAAGGCCAGCTGTAAGCCCAGGGACTTACAATGGTGGCTCTCAGATTGATTGACCATTGTGCCTCCCAAAGCACACCATCTCCTACCAGAACCAGGGAAACCTGGTAGTGTCTCAGCCATTTGCCTTAAGGAGAGAAGCCTCACCCTTCACCACGCTTTCTAACCCACAGGTTTTCATTTCCCCCATGGCTACCACAAGGCAATTTGGTCACCTTCATGCCTTTAAGGCTATAATCTGCTCGTGTGCCCACAGGCTCCATCACTGCTGTGGTTTCACTTTGGTGAAACCTAAGTGCTTTACAAATTGCGTGAATGCTCCAATCCCTGAGCTGAACAGGTAATTTCATTCACATTTTTCCCCTACCAACTCGCTCATTTCCTGTGAAGAATTAAATACCCTCAGTCCAGAAATCTAGGCTGACTCACATGGGATGCAGGAGACCAAGGTACAAGAACTCACCCTGCAGAACAGACATTGGAGATAAAGGAAAGGCCAGGTTTCCTTTCCAGTCTGTGACATCTGACAAGCCCTATCATCTCTTACTGTTCCACCCTGAAAACCAGGAACAAGGCAGCAGCTCTGAAATCTCAGCTTGAGGAAAAGAAAATCAGAAGGAGAAACCATGTGTGGTTAATAATAAATTATATAAATATAAATAATAATAATATTGCAGTAATTTATTGTACCTAGTCCTTTAAGCACAGTGGCTTAGAGACCTGTTTCTGTATGTCAGCATGCAAAGATAGCCCAGAGAAACATTTTATAGCTCATGGTCATATAAATGATTTTTCTAAGTATATTATCATACTATTTTCTTCATTTTATGTCTCTCCTGGATTTGCATGTTAACATAAAGCAGAAGAAGAGCTGTGGGATAAAATGAGAGTCATTTTCCATAGTAAAATCTTAACTGATTTGCACGCTTAATTTTCATTTAGGTTTATTTTTTTTCATAAAGCTTTTCTCACAGATTATCCTCTGCTATGCTTCTACAGCAGGCCTGAAATAAAGAGAACTTGCCAGGACTTGGGGGTGTCATGCACTCCATCTCTAAAAGGCTTATTAAAAACTACAAGGAAGATTTATGGCTTTGCTTTTCTTCGAAGTTGTGTATTACCCGCATCAGTGAGAGGGGAATTGCCTCTGCTTCTGTTTCCCGGCTTTGCTTGGATATTTCTCTAACCTTGCTAATTCTCCCATTTTGATCCAAGTCTTAAGAAATTATTTTCATAAAGTGAAAATTGTGCACTGAAGTGAGTATTTTTGATTTACAGGTGGTGATTTGCTTATAAACAAAAAAAAGAAAACTTCCACTTCTTTGCAAATCTGATAACATAACCCAATGGTGACCTGGAAACTTTGAGCATTGGGCGCTGAAGAAAAGCAGAGTTGTAAGCTTTGTGATTATTAAGCCATCACACAATTACTTCTGAAGCCCAACACAAAATCTGGACACTTAGCGCTGTAGCACTATGTACTATCCAGGTAAATATCATGTCCTCTCTTGTCTGGTTCAGCTATTAGAGAAAGGCCTGTCTGCTCTGTAAATTGTTATTCCTGACAAGAGCACATTTATAGACACTTCTGCATGCATTGCTGAAGGCAGGTGTGAAGAGAACCTCATTTCAAGATGGATATCAACTCCTAATTACATTTTTAAATCTTCATAATGGGAATGGTCAAATACAGGAATCACAGAAGGACCCAGATATGTTGTGATGTTTCCTTCTTGATTGGGCAAGGGCCAGATCAATCTTCTGTAATCTTGGAGTTACTGAGATTTTTAGCAGGGTGTGAACCAGGTAACTTTTAGAACTTCCTTTTTTTTGATAATTCTGCAAATTGTATGCATTGCCATGGGCCTGCCCAACTAGGGAACCTTGACTGATATAATTCCAGATGAATCAAGGCATTGCTGTAATTTTACTCATACAATTACACACATGGGCATACTATCCTGAAATAAGGGTAAAATATTCTGGTAGTATTGATCTGATCTGCAAACTGTAGTATTATTGTTCAATTTTCTTATGTACAACAAAAGAAAGAAGGACAGACTGTATGTGGTAGACATATCTGCTCTCAATGAGGCATCTCTGCAGGTGTCTCAAAGTTTTCCAGCTCTGCATTTTAAAGTATGTGGAATTTGCGTACTTCCATGGAAGCTTCTAGATTGCTGGGATCATATGATTTTGTTGTAAGGGCAATTTATCTTTCTGAATCATGCTAATAGTGACTTATGTTCTTGTTCTTATGAGTATAACACAGCGATGCTTTTTAAGAAGTAGGTATGTAATAAATCACTGACTTGATTGCCATGGCTTTGGCATCCTGGTTTCCAAGAACTATTTATTTCCTTGGTTTGATGTTCATTTCCCAACCCACATCCTCCATTCAGGCTTTCTTTCAGCAGCCAGATACTACTTTGCTAACCCCTTCTATCTACTAAATGCTAAAATAACATATCCAGTGGCTTTTCTCTTGGGTCTATATCCGCTGCTGTAGGCACTCTTCCTCCACAGATTATATTGTCTTTAATGGTTGAAAGATAATTTCTTAATCTAGATCTTAAAAGCAATTTATATGCATGCATTCTTTTTGATAATTAACATTTCAATTTACAGCACCATGGTAGTTGATAGTCTTCATTTTTATCTATATGTGTTTGATTTTAAGATTCAGTGGCAAACGGAGAAGCTTAGAAGAAGTGTGTAAACTTTGAATTTTGACCAGCAGAACCTAAATTGAAATATTTTCTCTTGATCAAAATAGAGTTATGTTATCTAGAATGTTACATTTTGAGTGGACTCAATATGTTAGAAAATGCTATCCAACTGTCTTGGTTTCTGAAAAAGGAAATCACAGTCATTCACTTAAAAAAAAAAATCATTTTCTGTGGCCAGCTACATGCCCTAAACTTTGTTCACACAAGTTTTTATGAGTATATAAGCCTGCAAACACACCCAGGTGTCAGGTGGAGTACTAAATGCCTTGCTGATAAGGAACCCTGTGTACCTCAAGAGACACGAGCCTTGTTTTCCTGCATAGCTCCAAATCAAGTACTCTAGTGTAAATACAGTTCACTCCAAAGCAAACAACAGAATCACTCTGCTTTGAACCCATCAATGACACAAGTGAGTTCCATTTCAGGTTTGTTCATTTCATTTCAGGTGCAGAACAAAGTGCAAGTAGCAATGCATTCCACAACCTTCATACTTTACTAGGGTCCAGAGGGGACTTGATTCGTGATCTGAGGACAGACTGTGCAACGGGTTAACTTTCCTCTTTCTCTGGTTGTAAAAGCTGCAGAAGCTGCTGGACTGAGACTTATCTTAGCTGAACTCAGTCACCTCTCAGTGTGTCTTTCTATAAAGTGAGCAGGGAGTTATCTGTGATCTGGGTAACAGAGAGCACTGCATAACTCCAGTAGTCTTGGGAAGCATAAGATTTAGATCAGAAAAGGCCATATGAATAAATTTTGGCAAGCTCCTTAATGCTTAAGCAATTTATAATTTTACATCTCTAAAAATTTACATAAAACCAAAATTTTATTATAATTATTTTATGAAGCAACTGTAGTAACAACTTATAATACCTTAATTGCACAAACCATTTGCTATTCAAAGGGCTGTCTTACTGAAGAGGCTGTAAGAAGTGACCATACCTTACAACTGGGACTTGTGAGGAAGCAGATTTGTCCAGAAGACAAGAGATGGGAGAAGTCATCCTCTGTGAAATGACCAAGCAGAGTTAAAAGGCTTGCAGGATTACTCAGTTCATGAGGAGCTGGGTTGGAAGGCAAAGGTCCCAATTCATTTGGGATCTGTAGCAAAAATAATCAAGTAGACACAGACAGCTGGGTAGAGTCATGTTCAAGTAAGCAAGAGGCTTGCTGAAGCCAGAGTGCTGACAAGAGGAGAGACAATGCATGCTTCATCAGCACCAAAGGAGTATGCAGTGCTGAGCAGAAAATTCAGACCTCAGCACTCATTCAGCCAAGCCCAAGACTGCTAATTTTAGACACAGCTACTGCTGTAATACAAGTTATATTTAAAGAATTGTTGTACATCTTACCTCAAAAGTCCCACACCTTCTCAGCAATTTCTCACACGCAGCTCCACACAGCACAACCAACAAACTCCAACTCCCTCCTCACCCAACTAACCCACTCTTCTATAGCACTCATCATTATTGGACACAGCTGTGGCCTGTTAAGTGCAGGCCTGTTGCTAATCTTTGGTGATTAGTACAGCTGCAACTCCTCAGGGATGAGATTACCTTCTGCACTGTCTTTATTTTCTTACATTCTATCCCTCCACAAAGAATGAGCCAGGAGCTCCATTTGTTTAGATCACAATGAACTAGCATCAGCACCACCAGCTTTAAAAGTAGAATACTGAAATTCAAAGAGTGCAATAGTGGAATCAGGCCTCTGTCTCTATAGGTAACTTGGATTTACAAAATCATGGACAATTACAGGGCAGCCCTGCCTCTGAAAGAAAATGACATTAGGGTATGGTCTCTGCTTACCACAGGTATGTTGTGCAGTATAGATGCAATGATAAATGCAAAATGTATAAAGGTGCAGATATAAAATTACTGAACTCCAGTGAACCAGAGACAGTTGCTTAGATTATCATTGAAAAATCATTAGATTATCATTGAAAAAACCCAACCCTATATAAAGAAGTCAGTTAAAGAGATAAATATCATCTATTTCCTCCTGACAGAGATCTACACCCAAAACACACATTCAAAATTGTCTTTTACATCTTATCTATTATTAAGAGACAGACTTGGAAAATTTCTGGGCTTTTATGAACTAATTTAGTAATCTTATGATTGTAAGTGTAGCCCCCCAAAATGAAGAAGAGTTTTACCTATTACAGTCTTTTCTTCCTTCAAATATCCACTTGAATACCAGCAAACCCTCTTTTTTCATTATTGTGAGGAATTTTATGATCTTTACCTCAGTATCCTGGAAATAAAATATATTGAGATGTATTTCAGCTGAAAGATAAGAAAGGCCATAATAGTTACAGATTTAATTATACATTATCCATATCGTAGACATTTGTAAGCACTGAATAAACTCATGAATGCCACCTTGAAAAAGCATTTCTTTTAGACCACAGTATAAGAACACTATTTGCCCTCAGGAATTTTGGCCCTAGGCAGTTGACAACAGAAAATATTGGCCAAAAAGCTGCTATCTTTTTATTTCTATCGTCTTTGCATTGTTCAAACCATAAGAAAGAGAATGAAATCTGAATCTGGCATCTGTACTCTAGTAAGAATGCTACATTTCCTTTCCAAAATTATTCTAGATATCAGACCAGGAAAGAGATAGCTTGAATTTCAAATTGAAGTTTCAGATTGGAGGGCCAGTAGTTAAAAAAACAGCCTCAGCTTGTGCTCAACAGAACGCAATCACTTTACTCATCAAGCAAAAATCTAGTTCTAAGACACATTTTCTGTGTCCTATCAGCCTGTCACCACATATTACTCAACAGTATGAAAGTGAGATTAGTTACACTTGTGTATAATCTGAATTTATCTGTTTATAGATTTATGGGTACTGACGGCTTGATTTATAACTCCTTGGTGACTGTTTCTCAGAGCACTGACTTGAGTGTAGCTCCAACAGGAGTCCAGCATAGAAAGATCTCTGAAGGAATGGGACATCTATCAGTGCCCTCTCACCCACAATGCCAGTAAAGGCAGAATGGAGCCATAGGTCAGTGAGAATTCCAGGAACAGTGACAGAGGTAACACAGGCTCCAAAAACTGAGTCAGTAATTTGTGAGGACAGAGGAAGAAATTATTAGCTGAACAGAAACAGAAACAACAGGAGAATGCTTTTACTTACACAGGTTGTATCAATTAAACTGAAATTGATGCAAAAAAACCAGGGCAGTTAAATCTGTGCAAACCCCAGTGAGATACAGTTGCACTGTCTGACAACCAGAGAAAAATCTTGAATTTTTGTGTGCAAATTTACAGAACCTAATGTATTCTAAATTAGGGGAATCTGCACAGAATTCTGCCATTTAAGAGCAGCCATTTAGTTAATTAATTTAATTTTTTTCTAGATATAGCTTCAGAAAAAATAAGTCTTGAGATACACACTCTTCAAGTGCATCCCAACAAGACAGCAGCATTTCATATCAGGCAGTCACCTCTGCTTTTTGCTAGGTAGCAGTGTGAGCAGCCTCCTGTAGTGTCACTGTGAGGCTCAACTGGCCTCAAACTGATGCCTTAGGAAAAGAGGTTTTGTGTAATTTCCCCCATTCTTTAAGCTTTTCAAGCTGCCTAGCTTTCAACTGATTACAACACCACAGACTGAGCATTAGCTGTTCAGTGAATTGCAATTGCTATTCAACAGAGAGCACTTGCATTCAAGAAAATGGGAGGAACCAGATTTAGGTACTTGAGGACAATTACATCTATTGGAGTAACTGTGCAGCAAAAGCTGCTCTAGACAGCACTCACTAAAATGGCTGAAATGCTGAGTTTGCTTCTTTTATTATTTGATTTATCTTGGTTGGGCTTTTTTTTTTTTTTAATTCTGTTTTGTTTTGTTATTTTCTTCATTTTGCTGTCCCCCTGCATGCATATCAAGCTGATTCTATCTCTTGGAAAACATAAATTCATCCTGAAAAAATTAAGAGAGTCTCTTGAAATGACCCTTTCTGACCACCAGTCAGAAGTAAAGTTGTGTGCAGTATTATCTGTCATTTTGAGGGTGCTGCAGGTCACACTGATCATTGACAAGCCCTATTATTGATATCTTCTGCTGCAGATTTAATGTGGGAAATGTCTTATATCACCTAAAGGCAAATAGTCCCATGATCAGCCCCGTGTGCCTTGTCAGCAGGCAGCAGATGAGGTATCTAATGCTGGCTGCAGATGGAGTGCAATCTGCTGTCAGAAGGAAACACAGCAGTACAGAGCACTAGCACACCAGTCATAGGCACTACCAACCAGGTATGCATCACTTGGACCCTGGATTTAAGGCAGAAGTAAAACATAAACTGTTGGTGAGATTCCCTGCAAATGCCCTTAGAAAGAATTTTAGCAACACTGTATTAGCAACTAAAAACTGATGTTGCTTTCCTTCCTCAGGTTACTGTTTTTATACAAAGGGCAGTGTCTCCCAGGAACCTTTCAGAGATACATAGTGTGCAAGTAGAGGAGAGAAACAGTGAGCTTGCAAAGTGATCAGATTCACTCTCGGGAATGTGGGATGCTGTCACATCCCACTGGAATAAAATGGCAAGTCATTTCCTTGTCATCCTTTCCATTTGGAAAAAAGGTTATTAGTACGTGTCCCTCACTGAAAAGCTTTAATCTGTACTTCAGTTCACCTTTCACAGAGTACCTGAGATGGCAGTATGTTGGAGTGACAGAAAAGTCACAGGAAAAGTCACACAGGCAGGCTGGAGGGATGTTCATGGTGCTGCAGGGCCTCACACTTGCTGTGGGTTGGGAGGAGTCACAGAATGTGTGAATGAATGGATGGGTTTATCAGAGGGCTGCTTTCTTTCCAAGACAGACTCTCTTCTTGTCAGAATTGTACAGAGCAGCGCCAGATTCAGGGCAAACCCCTTGTCTACAGAAGGAAAGCATGTGAATACTGCTCCCCACAGCAGTGCTAAGCACATCTGTAGCCCACAGATGTGCTGCTGGACCAGCATCTCAGGTAGTAGTAAAGGAATTCCTTCAGCCCTGCTGAAAATGCAGTGTGTGCTATGCATCTATGTCTGGTTGTCACTTATATTCTCCCTGTCCCAATGAGTTCTCCTCAGTTGAGCTGGAAAGTATGGTCAAGGATTTTGTGCAGGAAACTAGTCTCTTTTGTCTCTTAATCACAGAAATCCTCTTCTCTCTTTACTGTGTGGCCAAAGTACACACATTTACATAGGAAAATATTTGCACTGGAGAGGGATTATTACCAGTCAAATGAGCATCTACCCTCTTGCTTGGGAGGGGCTTGTGTGGGGCATGGCATTGTGGCAGAATGCAGGCCCAGGCAAATTGTCAACACAATCCATTAACATCTAGCTTGAAAGACTTTTGTGTTTCTCCCTAGCCTCACTTGATCTGCCCCTATTTCTCTTGTTTCTGTAGGTTGCCTCTTTTTGCTTAATGAGTAAGGCAAAAAGGAGTTGAAGAAACTCCAGACCTAATTTAAAAAGGCTGAATTATCTTAATCATCAGAATATAATAGAAAAGAGAAAGTGGTTGCAACTAAGAGACCACTTTTACAGCAAGGTCCACTCCCAGACATATACTCCTAGATTTAAAAAAAAGAGCCATGGTCTGGGGTTTCCTGGCAGTGCAAGGAAGCACTGTACTCTTTATGATACTCCTTTGACTTATATCATTCACAAAACCCAATGGAGAAGGAATTTATCTGCCTTTGAACTATTTGTTGCAGACCCCAGTGCAAGAAATGCTGCAAAAGAGCAGGTAAAGGCCCAAGTGTCAGTGGGAATGATCCACCTCCTTTTTCTGGACTGCCAGCAACTGACAGAGACTTCATGGAAGCCCAGAAAATGATCCCTTATTTTTAAGCAGGACTGATATGATATCAGTAATATTTCAGCAAGTTCCCGAATTATGCCCATGACTGCTTGACTGTTGTGAGTAAATTGAAATTTTATCTGCTCTGCTGACTGCTAGTTTCAGAAAGGGATAAAATTCAGTCAGAGTGAGAAATCTCACTTAGATTTGCAGTAAAAGCTGGGCAGGAGTTTAAAAATGGAAAGAGTTGTCTTGCTATCTATGTCAGAAATAAATCCCTTCAATTTTCCAGATTTAATTAATATACAAGAGCAGCAAGAAAAATTTCCAAAATCACATCAATTTCTCTAGCAAACAGCAAAGGGTGTCAATGAAAATGACTCAGAGTATGAGCCTTCAGTTCATAGGTGCTTTTCTCAAGGTAGACAGCCAAGGGAACATGATATATGGTTGGACAGATTTTTATAATGGCCTCCACCCTCTTGTCAATATATTCACCTGCTTCACTGTAGCTCATCCCCTTTTTCTCCTTGCTCAGTACAGCAGGTGGATTACTATGCAAGCTGCACTACACAGAAGATTTAACTCTGTCTTCTAATATGGGGACCCCCCTGCACTTAAAA